CGGCATCCTACCGACCCAACAGGCCTCTGATGATTAATTCGTGCAAGAGAGCTACGAATTTTTCTGGAGGATTTATCTGGCCCACGAGAACACGCTATTTTACTCAAAGGGGCAGTGTTAGGAGTCCGCCTAACCGACTGCCAGCATTACCTTACAGGCTGTCCTGACGAATCGCTCCTGTGGCCGGCAAGCAACAATGATTCCTTCTTCAATGCGAGCGGCCTCAAGGTGATGTGGCTGTGCTGGTTACTGCCCCACACAATAACTTCGAACTCTGGACGGTTATTCACTCGCACACACACGTGCGCACACGTGAGCGCGCCACCCTGTGGTTATCCAGCGGGTGACCTTAATACTAGACACCCCCGAGCAATCCAACGCATCAATCGTGCGACACTTGAACTCGCTTGGCAACCACTCGTAAGCAACAGTCCCGCTTATCTTTTGTCTACAGGCAGAATGCGGATTTGTGCAAGTCGTAGGTGCCTGTCTTGCATACATGCTGAAAGATGTAAATTGTCTGTAAAGACAATGGAAAATTGAATGTCCGTTTCTGGCTCATTGGCAGTCATCAGCCAGCCATAACTGATCCCAGGTGGTACACCACCCAAATTCCGAGACTGCAGCATTTTGGTTAGAATTCCGATGCTCTAACAATTGAGCCACGGGCTCGTGGTCCTGCCGATTTAGATTGGGAACATTTGCATTTGTTTTTTTGACAGTTGACTAATCGCTAACGGACCTCGGCATCAGGTATACTCACTAGATCTACCACGGCTAGTATTGTAAAACGAAGAGCTTTTTTGAAGGCAATCTGATGCCAAGAAGCGTTTAGGACTTGCTTCTACCTCAGCAAAGCACTCCTGCCCGCTCCTGTCAGATAACCCGAAAAGATTTTTGAAATTAAAAAAACGAAATGACTTTTGCGACGAACAACGCCAAAGGCACCGAAATCGCGCTGATTTCTCCAAGCAGACGAAGAGTTAAACTGCAATAAATACATATATCGTTCAGAGCCTGACGGGCATGCGTTTCGCAAAGCTGTTTTCCCAGGGGGTTGATCGCACGCTAAGTTTGATAAACTGCAAGTGTATGTGCGTGCGCGCTCGCTCGCTCGCCGGTTTTTGACAGAATGTTTTAAGAGCAGCAGAGAAGCAAAGGCGGAATGGGAAAAGTGAAGTGCTACTTTACTTACCGATAGCGTCCAGTACGTTCCAAGACTACACCAGCGACGATTGAGCCAATCAGACCGGCAATCACCATGGTGAAGCCTATCCAGCCGATGGCCACCTGGTCGGTCTATAAGAAGGGTAGTGGGAGTGATAAAAATTTATAGACAAATATGAAAACATGATCCCCCCCCCTCAGTGCGTGGGAGAATGAATACTTCTCAACTGTCTAGACACTTTCAGGAGCTTGAGCTCACTGGCACTATTTTCACTTAGAGGAAGTATTAGCTGGGGCAGAGGTCGGCAACCTTTTTAACTCAGAGAGTCAAGAAAGCAAATATTTGGAAATATATCTAAGTGAGAGCCATATAGTATATTTTAAAACAAAATTCAATTAAATGCGAGTATAATAAGCCTGTGAATTTATTCTTATAAATAATGTTCTTATAGTACTCATTGTTAATGCAGCCTCTAGTGCTGCATGGATTCGCTGATGGCTTTATAGTCGGATTGGTAGTTGGTGAGGTAAAGCTTCATGCAAGCGTTGAGGCTTTCATCCGATAGACGTGATCGTAAGATGGACTTGATGTAATTAAGATGTGAGGATTACTGCTCACAGGCATACGTAGATCCAAACAAGGTCAATACAGCAATACTCACACGCTGCAGTGTGTATTATTGACCGGAAGCGTGTTCCAAGTTTTCATTATCAGCTGGTCTTCAGGTTGAAGTTTTTTTAATTTCTGTCCATATGGGCTTGCTTGCCAACTCCGCTTTATGTCGTGTGATTCTTTGCAAATCTTCATTGAGTGACTTAAACTTATTCAGCCATCAATAACAGAACACTTGAACCTGCTCTGTCACCCTACTGAAGCAACTGTCACCAGTGTCTGAATCTCTCTCAGGTGTGGCTGGATGCAATTAATACTAGGCCTGGCTTCGCCAGTGGCCAGTGCCTCCTGGGACAGCAATTGGGAGTTCTGTACATAATAAATCACTCCTTCTGGTGATTTCTGTCTTTTAACTTCCAGCCTCGGATTTGGCCCAATGATTGTAGTGATCCAAGTACAACCCACTACTTAGACCCATAAAAAGTAACCAAAAGCACAAATCTGAAGTAACCAATGTATTACTGCAAACGTTAGGACCGCGAGGTACGCATATTTCTGGGTGATTTCCCTTCGTCAGTCGCGGACACCTGATTCCAGTATAGCCGCAGAAACTGCTGCCACACTGCGGTTTTGAACCCGGGACCAGTGAACTAGTGAGTACTGGACCAGATGGGAGTACAGCTATGTACTAATCTATGTCCCTTTCGACAACTGGCAAGACGTCGACCCGGTGGCTCAGTGGATAGGACGGTCGTCTCTAGCTTACTAGTCCCGGATTCAAAACTCGAGTGTGGCAGCAGTTTCTGCGGCTATACTGGAGTCAGGTGTCCGCGACTGACGAAGGTAAATTACCCAGAAATACGCATATCTCGCGGTCCTAACGTTTGCCAGTAATACATTGGTTTCTCAAAGATAGCGAGTTACATAATTGTTTCGCCCTTGAGAATAAAGCTGAAGTGTCAGCGACTCGCCAGACGAAAGAACCATGGTTAGTGAATCCTGGACCAGATGGGATTACAGCTATGTACTAACAAATCTGAAGTTTCTGAGAGAGCCATACGCAATCAAAAAAAGTCATATATGGCTCGCGAGCCATAGGTTGGCGACCCCGGAACTAGGGTATTCTAAGTAGCCCCAATCTGCCTATATTTGGGCAGGTTTTGACTGCTAACGCTCTGTCTGGCAAAAGGGCGCGAAAAGGGGTTCCGAAATATGCCGTCTTTTGACCCTCACTTGCACTTTTGAAGCTTAAACTGTCCGTATTGGGTGCACGGCCCGGTTTTAACTTAGTGTTTATGTTTGGATTATTCTTATGGTTAGGGTTGTCTGGTTTGGATTGTGGGGGAAACTTGGCCTGGGGTTTTAAGGTTAGAGTGAACATCACGGTTGGGACTATAATTACTAGGGGGTTACTGGTAGACTAAAATAATTAATTTGAACAAATTAGCAGAAATCCGGCAATCTTGGCGGAGTTGAAACCCACGATATCACCATAGCGTTACACAACTCTAGAATCCTGTAATACGCGAACGATTTCTTTGTTGAAAATTTGTCTTTTGCATGTAGCAATTGCACATCCAACCTATCAGTTAGTTAGCTATTAACCAGTCGTTACATCGATTGGAAAGCTAGGTTAATGATACTATCTACCTAGTAGACACATACCCTCTCAAATACAATATACATATAGCATTAATAAAATAAGTGTTCAGGTTGCTGTTAACATATGTGATGCATTAGATATGTATATATAAAAACAGAAGTTTGCATTCTACTCCCTCTACTGAATAACAGAAGTCCTAACCGGCTTAATCAAACCATTTGACCGATTTCTAAAGAAGACAGCGACCGCGATTATTTATGCCTACAGTTACGTCTGCGTTTTCTTTAACGACTTACGTTTTAAGAGTTAGTTATCAACTAAAGACATGACCACAATTAGCATTTGAAATGTAGTTAACCGCAGTTGTCCCAATGTGTCCTCAATTTAATCCGCTTTCGTAGCAGCGATTCAGTTTAACTGACGTATTTCGCCACATGTCAAACTGTGTGAGGGCCTGTATTAAGTCACCACAAGGAACCGCGCGTGATACATCTGTTGGGCCAAAAGTAGGGACAGAAAAACGATCAACCAAAAGGTTTCTTTACCATAAAAAAAGTTATACGACAAGATAGTACACTTACCGGGTAGTAGGCGAGGAGAATTACACTCAGTAGTGTGCTTATGCTGTGGTAGACACCGGTGTTTACACCTGAATGCAACCAAAAGGTGCCGTTGTCAATCCGCACATTTCGCTTCGACTGCGCACATTTATTAGCAATACAATACATCAAGGTCAAATCCAAGGCGAGCAACTCGTGATCAAACGGTAAGTGAAATGCATATCTTTTTATCAGATGTCATCGTTTTCTACTGGAATTATTAGCTAAAGTGTTGGTAATTATTTTTAATACGTAATTACGCAAAAGGTCACTTGTGACAAATTTGCTTTCGCCTTATATAGATATTTCTTATTCAATATGATATCTCAGTCGCAACTCAGACACAAATCACCCCTTAGCGCGAGCTATCCAACTGATCAAGCCGTCATAAGCATGAAGAAACTTGATGTTGACCTTTTGGACAATTTCTTCTAGGTTTTCCTCCCAATATGGGTGTCCGTTTATGGTCCTTGGTGCCATCTTCGATGGATGAGGTGCTTAACCAATTAATCCAATTTTTAAAGTTGCCTGTAAACTGGCAATAAATAAATATGTTTTAATCTAAAATATATTTGTATACACACACACGGAAAACCGATTTACCTTCGCGCGTCCTTAGAGGTAACAAAGAGTGGTAAAATAGGGAGGAAATGGGCTATGGGTGCCGTCATGCGAGGCACAGAAAAAGACTTCTTGCAGATGAAGCGAGCAGATAGAAAAAATACTCTAACAGGAAAAATCAGATGACTAAGAAAATAAATATTAAAAATATTGCACCGATATGAAATATTTTTCACGCCTCAAGGTTATTGAAAGCCATATACACACACACAGACAGACACACAATGTAGAAAGTTAGTTTCGACAGACAGATTACGGAGAAAAAATATGACATGTATAGTCTGCGGACGTCATGTAAAGGGGAAAGCTAATTCCAGCCAGATTTCTTCGTGCTGAACTTGCAGCCTTCCGCGCGTTACGCAGCTAGGAACATAATGGTCCGTTTAGCTTTTAAGCCGCGTAGGTCTATTTCAAAAGGTACCAGATTCTTTGACGTATTTAGTGATATCGATTTTTACCCTGTACTGAAAAGTATATCCACTACATCAAGGTTGTACCCTCACTTGGAAGCACGGTGCAGAAACGAATACATGGCACGGCATGTGGGTTTTTTAACTTAATTTACTTTAATTTTGGAATATGTCGTTTTTGGCGTTGCACAGCAAACTTGAGTGGTTTCCAATATCTTCGTAATTGCATAAATTATTTTTGGCACGTTTATGTGTTGTCAAATATCATATCTTTTAAATAATTGTCCATCTTTTTTCACTTTAATACGCTCTAGTCAACAAATTATTTTCATCTCCATTCATTTACCTTTGAATTATTGTAAGCTTCTTTTTGTTGCCTTATCACTCGACGCACGCTCTTTCATTGCTATATATTAGCTTTTTCTAATAATTTTGTACACTTTTTTGTTTTTATTTCGGTAAGTCCATTACAGTTACCACCAGGGAAAACAAAATCACAGAATCCTTTTATATGGAATTAGTTCTAATGATAATTTATTCAATGTTTTAATTTATGTTTGCATTTTTTAATAAATTAAATATATTAAGCTTCTTATTTTTACTAGCTTTTAAACCCCGTTAAGAATGGCGACATGACAAGAAGGGCTAGTAGGAACTGGAAGGTAAGTATTGTCAATTTGGGTGTGTATTAAAGCGGCAGCAAGAAGACATTCCACCTACCATAGCAGATGTTCAAGAGATCGTAACAGTAATTCTTCACAAGGCTCACGAAAGTGGCCTTATATCCAGCTTTCTCCGCAGCGAAGCCAATAGTATTAGTGTCCGTACTGAGGGAGGAGACGGGAGATGGAGACCTGTAGAGGTCTTTCTCTTAAAAAAATGATAAGAGGGGAACGGTGCGATTTAATGGATGCTACGTATTCGGAAAGGGACGAGAAAAAAGGAGAAGTAAAACATGTCTGAAATTCAGCTTAAGAAAGAGAGGTACGGGGGGATGACAGCCTTCCCCTTGTGGCTAAAACAACAAGAATGATTAAGCTAGGCAACGCTCCGGGTACGATAAAACTGATTTAGGCGGCGTGGAGTATTTGGTTACTCTCTGTAGTATGCGGAATTTTGAGCCAGAGTTCACAGCATGAGTATATTTCATGTTTCAGGCAACCGGTGTGTTGATTTGCCCTTGGCCTACGCAGCCCTGTGCAGCCACCACCAGGCTTGAATCATTTAGCATTGGCTCGAGGAATAATAAAAAGGGCGGATGGGGAGGTAACGAGCGTCACGTTTGCTTAATTACTGACCAGATAGGTTTTTTAGACGAATAATGTTGCACAATGGAACGTGTAGAAGCTTATATCCCAGTCGGCACTTCATAGGTGGGTGAGGACCTTGTATAAATGCCCAACGCTTTTCTTACGGCAAAGGGGCTTCACGCTTATTTAAGGTAGGCATACTATGTTGAGATTGCACCTGCTAGGTCGGGTAAATATGGCTTAAGTTTTTACTCTTAAAACTCAGTTTTACGGCAAATATAAGGGTAAAAGATTAATTTGGATATCAGAGTAAGTGCTATGTGGTGTGAAAAGGGCTTAGGGACATTAATAAGTTTAAATGGTTGGCATTAGGTGCGATTATTAAGTCTTGGACTTACATTTAGAGAAGAGGGCCACGGCTCAAAGCCTACTTTTAGCACAGTAGTCACCGGCTATTAAGCCCACCTCGGGTCCAGACCAAATTGGGCTTAATCAGCA